AAAAAAAATTAAAAAAAAAAAAAAAAAAAAATTAAAGAAGTGTTTAAGCATCAGAACTAAAATACAAATGCACGTTGACTTATAAAACAAGATTGTGGATTTGACCATGGGATTCCCTGACAGTGGAAAAATTTTACTTTTTTGCCCGGAGAGATTTCCTCATGGTGGATTTGCCCTTGGCGGAGGGTTTCACTTCCTTCCTCCCGCTGGCTGCTGGTTTCTTGGAAGAGCTGCCACCAGAGGGTTTCTTGATGGCTGGGGCTGCTGGTTTGGCTTTCTTAGCAGGGGTTTTAACCTTGGGAGGGGGCTTTGCTTTCCCCCGGCGGGCTGCGGGGGTTTTTCTTGGCTTGGGTTTGGACTCTCTTCGCTTCATCGGAGGGGCCCTGCTCCGTGATTTTGGAGGCGGTCTCTTCTGCATCCTGTCAGAGAGAGGGAGACAGCACAAGATCTCAGTGGAGGCGCAAATGCTACCCAGAACAGAGCTGCTGTCGTCAGTTTGCATAAACGAAGCAGATCTTGGCATCCTTGTTCTCTACCACGGATGTTCCTTTATGCAGTGTACATTTCATTAGCTAAATCCCAAGGAGCGAGGACTCCTCTGGTGGATCTTGCCACGCTACGCACTTCTCAATCCCCACAGTGCTCTGCCAGCGAGGTTTCGAACTCCTTTGTTAGGCATATAAACATACAAATAACGACAATGAATCAAAGTCAATTGTCAGAACAATTAAGAGACCTAAGCGCTCTCTCTCCTCTCTAAATGGAATTTTATTACTTAACGAACAACACTTCTCTTAAATCCACATTCTGAGTAAGGCAGGTTTCATATCTGGCTACAGAACTGCAAATAATACTGTAGGGGAAAGTTTTCCTAAGGAAACACTTAATAAATACAAAAAGTCCCATGTGAAACATCACACCTCTGTAAAGCACAACAGGCAACTTTAGGAGACTAAAGGCAATACGAAGAATAAATACAGGCTCTCTTCTCATCTGGAGGAAAAAAGAGGTAAGCCGCAAATTATGGAATGGGGGAGATCATTATCTCTGGAGCAAGGCATAATTAGAAACTTCTTCTTCCAACACCTCTGAGCAACAGCCTTGTGGGTAAATAACCACACCAAGAGACAAACCTGTGTGCTCTACAGCTGTGACAGTCACTTTTATTTCATCCGAAGGAGCCCATTCATCTCCCATGCTACCATACCTCTTCTTTGGTGGTGGCTCTTCCTCCTCAGACTCTTCCTCTTCAGATTCTTCTTCCTCCTCAGATTCCTCCTCTTCTTCCTCATCAGATTCCTCAGAGTCCTCATCCTGCTGCTTCTCTGGGTAGAGCACATCTGGGCTACAAGAGGGTTCTTGTCAGAGCGTGACTTACTTCTAAGGATACGACTCCAGGGTCAGCAGGCCTTGGGTAACCCTGGCTTTCATCAGGCACTGCTGCCCATCCTCCTGTAAGGTTACAGCTTCGAGAGCCTAATCCAGAAATACCCCCAAGACTTCCGTGTCTGCCGCTACCTGAAACCAACGTTATTTAGTCTCTGCAATGGCAGACTGTAAGTCATCAGGAATGCCCCAGCCCTAAGCTGCCCTTTCTCTGCTTCTCTCCTCATTGCTCCTTCTCTGCAAACACAGGAAGGCAGACAACAAAGGGACAAGATCAGGCTTCGGTGACTCCGAACGCAGGCTGAAGCCACTGAGGACTTTGTATGCATGCAATAAAAGAAGGTGGGAAGCAGAGACTTCAATGACTACATTGCCATTTGGCTCTTTGCGGGACACTAAGTCACCATCCCTGGGCTCCACGTGGCCCAGCACAATATACGCTCACAGCAGGAGAAGAAAGGCTGTTTTCGTCTCACAGAAGCTAATCTAGGTCATCTTCCCTCCTCCCACCTCTCCTCCATATCAGCATTAAGAAAGGCAAACAGCTGGGTCCTACTCCTTACGAGCATCCCTGCATTAAGAACACCACCACACTCTACCTGCTCACGTGAGTTTGTTTTAGCATGGGAACACTTAAATAGCCCCCCCATCCTGCAAAAAAAGCATCATGACAGAGTATCTGAGAATATTGAGCCCAATATTTTTATTGCCCTTATAAGCTTCCCTTGCTAATGAAGTCAGCTTTATGTCCACTCACAGTCAGACACGCAAGTAATGTCATTATCTAGAGTAAGGGTGACAACGTTGTGGTTCATCTGTTATTAAACCCTCCACAAACTTCCCTGTAAATAGGAGGTCGGCCTATGAACTTCAGCACTGCTATCGGACTGACCTATGCGACACTTATCTTGAACATCGTTTTACAGCCAAGCTCTTTACCTAGGATAATAAGGGAAGCAAAGCTGAAAGGTTCCACTGAAGCCCTTTCCGGAAATTTGCTCCATCCAGCCATTCTTCTCACATTTCTGCAGGGTTCTCTTCAGTAGATGCACTGTGGGGGGGGGGGAATCAGAGAAAGGTTGCGTTACTATCTTTATCCACTTGTCTAACCTTACTGCTCTCTGCAGTGCCCTCTGAAATCAGAGCTGGAGAGTCAGGATGAAGTCTCCTTTGCCCAGGACACCTGCAGAGGAATGAAACAGCACTGGAGACCCGAGACTCGTGAAGACATCACCGCATGCTCCTTTCTGCACTCAGCAAAGAGCAGCTGCTGTGTGTAAGACCCAGCTAGATCACTGCATTTAAAAGTTTTAGTATGTCTTATTTCAAGGGAAATCCTCTTGCAGTTAATTTTCAGGAGGAAGATACAAGATACAAGTGTTTGTTCCTGAACACTTAGCAAGTGTGGTTATAAATTCTCCAAAGGAAGAAGTCAAGGACAGTGCAGGTTTTTGATGTCACGATCAAGGGATCCTCCTTTATAAATGCATTCAACAGCGCCATCTAACTACTTCTGTCCAAATTTAATCCAAGTCTCAGCTTTCTTCGGCCTGTTCTCCAAAGCATTTTTTAAAACAAGTCTTTACCCTGTTTTTGCCCTCCTCCTGTTCTAAATTTCGTATGTGGTGCATCTTTCCCCGTTCTGTGGGTTTTTTTGCTTTTGGGTTTGTTTTTGTTATTTTTTAAAAGGAAAATATTTGTTCTAGAAATATGACAATTGCACTTTTGATTCCAGTCTTCTGCTCCATTGTGCACTGTGTAAGAATTGTAACCGAAACTGCTTAAGTACAGGGGATATTTGTCCCTGGCAAAGGGCTGAAGTTGTTTAGTCAGTTCAAAACCATTTTCAGCTTGAGTTAGAGGGACCATTTACATATTTAGCTCCCTCCAAACCAAGGGAAAAGTAAGGCCTGCCCTCAAGCACATTCCAAAGAGATTCACCCGAGGAATAGAAAGAGAACAATCCAAAGAAACACGCTGGCTGAACCGTCATCTGAATCCGTTCTGTATGATTAACGCAGAGGTATTCACTCCAACCACTTAGTCAACACTCCTGAAATGGGCTTTTATCAAGAACTGATACTGCACAGCAAGAGAATCATTTGGGACAGCGCCGCACCTTCACCAGCTTACAGGCTACCTCTGCTGGAATGTTTTACTTTGAATGGCACTGGAAGAGCTTGCACAGCTAATTGAGTTGACTGTAGCCATTAAATTACTAGTGTTGCAACCTTAGGATTGTCATCGTTCAAGAACTCTTTAAAACCCCCACACTTCTATAAACAGGAGCAACACATAAAACATAAGGCTGTTTTTACTCTGGGTACCAGAGATCAATAGCAGCACGTAAAGGATTTGACTCCAGTCAAATCCAGTTATAAGTATGAGGTATAAAATGGGGAGGAGTGCAGAGCACTGGGTCTGCAGCGCGTGCCCGCCTGCTTCTACATCTCACCAGATCTTCCTCCGGTTGCTCTTAAAACAGAGCAGAGATCATAAAAATTCCTTTTATGTAATGGAAGGAGAAAGAAAACAACAGATTGCAAGCTGAAATTTCCTTATCCGACTTGCAAGACTGACAAGCACTGGAGGCTCGTTAAAAGCAAAGGACCAGGGCAGTTTCCAGTGGTCCTGAAAAAAAATGGTGCAAGGGCTTAGTAAGCCCGGGAACTCTCTTCCCTGCCCCAAGATTAAGAAGTCACACTTGACATCAGTCTCTAATTGGCAGAAGGCCTCAGGCAACTTCTTTAGCCCACGCTGCTGCGAGGGAACCTGCGCTCGTCCATGTGTTGGTAAGCCCTGCATCAAACAGCCGTGCTGATGCCGTGCTTCAGCTCCAGGTGAAGAGTGTGGGATCAGCAATCTCCTCTCTGGCCCCGTGTCCTGAGGAATGGCACCAGCAGTGTGACACCACAATAACAAACTGATCTACTTTTAGGTTTGACTCTAGTAGAGACTGCTGCGAGCTCATCCTGCTTCAAATGACCTCCAGCCTCGGTTAAACTACTGCACTGGGGCTCAGACCAAATAATGCAAATAAGCCATTAGAAGATCTGCTTTAAAGTCTCTGTTAGTATTGCTTCTGCTAATGCAAAAGTCAAAACAGACATTAGTGTCATTTCTGCGAACAAAGGCATGCCAAATGCCTTCCCAAATACAACAGGATTAGTTTCTCTCCTCACTTGCTTGACCTTTTAAAATCAGAGCCAAAGAAGGACCTCAAACAAATCGGTAAGAGGGGTGCTTGTTATTTTTTTTAAAAGTTAGACTATGCAACTTCTCTAAATAAAAAGCAACTAGGAACTGCATTTATGCCAAGCTGTAGCCTTTCAAAATACAGAGAGACAGATTAAATCAACTTGGTGATTTAAGAACAATAAAGTACTTGAATACTCTTCCCCCTTTCTGGGAACATGCTATAGACAAGAGAAACATCCATTATGTCTCAGAAACTAGCCTTTGTCGGGCTTGAAAGGAACTAATGGGAATTAAAAACACTGAGCATCTCTGCAGCACAAAGAGCTGAGCAGCTGTCAGTTCCCCAGCAAGCTCAACCGAATAGTTTAAAGGTGCTGCACAGACACATCTGCAGCTGCAGGACTCTCTCAGCATGTGGAAGAGAAGCGGTACACAGATCGGTACTTTACCCTGGAAGTTGGAGTTGGTCCCTGGGTGGTTTTCCAGGATATACTTCTTCAGCGCTGTGGTGGAGCAGGTCTTCGGTTCGTTCATGGCCGCAATAGCAGACAGGATGGCGTCTTCCATCAGAGTCCCACCCAGCAGGGGCTTCTCCCCTGATTTCTTCAGCTATTTTCCAAGGAGGAAGAGAAAAGCATCAAGACAAAATTCTCCCAAACCAGGTCAGGACAAGCTCCTCTGCACCAGGTGGGTCGGCGCTCCTGCATTAGCACAGATACGTTTTATATTAAAACACCGCACAGGGAACGCTGCTCTCCCAGCTTTAATTGGGAGGACAGGCCTATTCAGTCAACTGGCCTGGAGTGCTTTTTATCGGTAACACATTGTCCTAGTCCCCAAGTACACTGCAAGGATGTGGCAATCTAAGGGCCTATCACTCAGGGAAGCAATTCAATCAGATCTTCCTCCATCCCACAGACCAAATGTAGCCAAGAGACTTCTGTGGCATAGACATGAGAAAAAGACGTTGCAGACATATGGGGTACCTACTGCACTTACAATTAGTGATGGAAAGGAAAGCTTACCCCACCATCTCCCCTACTGTGCTAGTGAGTCAGAGCTGAAGCAGCGTGTGGAGCACGCTAAGCAAGGAAGGCAGGGGGGTCTGCTCCAGAAATGTAGACCAAGAGGAGAATAAGAGTCCTACTGCTTCATAGTTTGACAACTCCTGAATATGACAGGCTGCTAAAGAAAGGCGTACCCAGTGAAACTGGGGGGGGAAAGGGCGCGTTAACTTATATCCAAGGCTTGTGGTCAGTACAGTCAACAAAACAAGATGAACTCTGGCTCTGACCTGGAATGTCCCAGACGCTCCCTTCCCTGTGATCTGCTCTAACTGGCCCTTCTCTACAGCTCTCTGCAGGGCATTCTTCAACAGCTGGGGTCTGAAATACAGGAGGATAAAGCTTTACTGACACACACTGACAGCTTAAAAAACAAACAGAGAAACAACGCTTTATACAGAGTGTGAGCAGAGCAGTACTTACAAGTGGTATCTGCCTACATACAGACATTTTAAATGGAGATCTGTCAGCAAGTGCTGATTACATGAGAAGAACAATGTACGTTAGCGGAAATTCAACTGCAACGCTTTCTTGGTGTCACTGCGTATCCAAAAACAGACAAGCTTCACTTGGAAGGATTTACTCATTTTGAAAAGCACATTTGGACTCGGTGGGCAATGAGTCAGTCAGCTCACAGACAAACCAGGGACTGAGTACAAGCCCCTGGAAGAGGTGACCCACAGGGTTTTCCTAGATTTGCTTCTTCCCCAAGCCTTGACCCGCTCCGTATGGGCAAACTTAAAGATTACTGTAAGCGTGTGCCAGCTAAAGCATCCAGAACCAAGTGGGACAAGATCCCAAGGAGAGGCCTTCACATCCACGCAGCTAAAGGGGTCTGGTTTTGGTTAAGGGTGGAGGTGCGTAGAGCAATGCTGATGTCGGCGTCAGGAACAAAGATTGGGTGTGGAGGGATGCAGAAAAAGGCACAGCTTTTCCTCAAGCTTTCCTGCAGGCTCTACAACGCAGAGCACCACCTGTCTGCTGCCTGCTGAAATACTGAATTGAATCACCGTGAAGTGAGGCAAAGCCAGAGGAAGGCTGCGTTTCACTGCTCCTCTGCAGCTCTGCTTGCAAAAGCGTACTCCTGCACCTACCTTATATCTACTTTGAGTTTGGGGTAATACTGAGACACATATTTCTTGATCAGGCTGTAAGAAGCTTCCTTCGGCTCACAAAGGCGGGTGAAAGCCAGCGGCAGGATATCTTCCAGCTTGACTTGTTGCTCTGCAGTCGAAGCGGAAGTGCTTTTCTGAAATACACATACTTTTACGCATCAGTGGGGCCTAAAACTCTGAGTTTTCTGAACCAGCAATGCACAGGTGGGGAGAAGTGCTCCTGACACTGGCCACAGATCTGGAAAATCAAGTTCTGTAAGGCAGTTCTTTACATTAGCAATTTTAAAAGCTTAGCAGTTTAAGCAAAATCGAGCAAATTTGGCTGGAATTTTCATAGGAGGCTTAGGAAAGTTTTACAAATATAAATTGTTGAGTATTTAACAATATCTGTATTTTTAATGGTTTCCTTCCTCTTTCTATAGACATTTTCCTCTGCTACCCTTCAATGAGACAGGTGAAAATGATTCACGCTAACATGAAACACAAAAACCAAAGGCAAGGCCTGTTTACACAGGTCAAATCTTCCCAAAAATGAACAGCTAAACAGGAGTGCCTTTTTTTTCAGATGACAGAATGAAGTCTTGATTGAAGCCAATGCTCCCTTCTGAATTTTCCTCCATCCCTTTGTTACCACGAGGAGGGGAGGATCAGGAAAAAACCAGTCTGTTCTTTATACAGAAAAGACAGTGGGGAAATGTGCTGAAGTTTAATGATTTTGATGCTGAACAGCAGCTTTGCAAACAGTCAAACAGGTGAGGGTGCTGCTCACCCAGACAGCTGCTCGACTGCTAGCTGAATTCACCGAAAACAAAAGCAAACTATTTGTTTTGCTGCAACACAGAGAAAGTAACTAGGAACAAAGACACCGATATGCTGCCGACAAGAAAAGTGATGCCTTGGCAGTTATCAGGTGCCTTGCTCAAACTTCTCGTGGAGCCAGTGAGCTCTATTTAAAAAGAAGTTCACTGCAATTAGTTTACTTCAGTGCCCTAGTAACAAGTGTGTCACTGTTTCCTTCAGTTTTGGGACTTTTGGTCTCCCCAGTAGCCAAGAGATAAGCACCAAGGCGTTACAATACTCTCTTCTGGGTTCACCCGTCTAAGATGCAAGGGGATCGGCAAACCCATCTAAGCATTTTGTAACTGTGGTGTTAGAAATGTGTTTCATACACTCAGCGCAGCAGGGAGCGGAGAACAGAGGTGCTGGAACCATGACTAATTGTGAGGACTAGGCTCAAAAAAACCCACATCACATTTTACTACCTCAGAACAATATACACTCAACATTAGCAGCTTTCTTCCAGAAGCCTTAGGATATTTTCTTCTTCCTCCCTCTGCCCTCACAGCTGATGGAAAAATGTTCATCTGACAGTCCTGAAGACTGAAGTCTTCCATTTATCCATGCAACAGATATAACAGAAACAGCAGTAGCATAAAGCTCTCTTACAATACCTGAGAGGCATCTCTCTCTACCAGGTAAAGACAGAAGAGGAGCTTCATGGTTATTCAGTTTTCTGCCTCTGAACCAAAGCCTAGGGGTTTAATGTAAACATTTTAAAACTAAGATTTTGATTACTCTACTTCATTTTAAATTTCTCATACTAGCTTTCTGATTCTGATTTTAGTGGAATGGGTGTTTTAATTACTGTACTTGGGGAGGAAAAGTACAGCAAGGAGGAGAATACTGTTTGGGTTGGGGTTAGGCTGCATTTCGTAAGATACATGTCTTTCAGTGCAAGATTTTTCAGAGTGTTGTTTAAAATGATCCATCTTACCTTTCTGTCTCTGGCTTTTGGAACAGTTTTTCCTGCATTAGGCACCACCACAAAGCTCCCAGAAGCTCCCTTTCCTTTCACCTAGTTCGAAAGAAAGTTCATTTCAGTCTTTAACAAAGTAACTCAGAATAGTAAGAACCTGAAAGAGACTAAGTGACATCATTACGCAGATTTTGAATGCACTGCCACCCTGGCGATGGGCTGTTATGGCAGAGGCCTGATTTGAACCCACTGACATGTCACTAAGATCAGAAACCACAGCCAGACATTAATAACATGCTCTGCTGTCCCGACCAGGAGACCCTAACAGATATCACAGGCATAAATTACAGTGTTAAAAGAAACATGCTGCTGCAGAAGTGAGGTTGTTAGACTCAGTTTGAAGACACATGCTGCTGCAATGCTATATTACACAACACCAAGAAACGGTCATAAATTGCACAAAAGACAACCATGCAAAGTATCTGATTGACAGAACAATGCTGAAATCCTGTCAGTGTCTAACAAAGTGGAGACAGAGGTTAATTAACCTCCACGAGGGAGAACATGACCACCCCAGACACCTGCTAACGCAGTTTAAGAAACTCCTATGTAATTGAGTAACACCACCTCCAGTGCTGCTCCGCAAAGCAACCCTTACCTGTCTAATGATTCCTCTCTCCAGCTCCCTTTTCAATGCTTGCTTTAGCAGATAGCCTCTCCTCTCAAGCTCCAGGGAAGGGTATTTGTGGATGATGTATTTACGTATTGCAACGACCGATGCACCACTCTTTTGAAAGCACGCCTGAAACAGAAGCAAAAAGTTAGCAGAAACCACCTGCACTGCAATTATCTTGCTGTGGGTCTGGAAAAACACAGATTGAACTGATGCATGCAGGCCAGCACATCGGCGCAGGGTGCCAGGGCTGGCCTTTTCCCCACAATGACTCAAGAGTATAAAATATGACTAACAAAATACTTAACTTTCCCCTTCAGCGTGGCTGAAGGGCAGACAACACAAAAGCAGTACAGTAAGCGCATATCAACTGCTCCCGTATTCTGAAGCACTTACAAGTCATGGCATAAACACTACATGCTACTACGAAATACAGTCACCTCTTGGCAAACCAATGCTGCGCAACTGGTAAGTCATTTTACTAATGTCAGACAGAGTAATCATTAAGTCAGAACAAGTTGGCAAATGCTACTACGAAATACAGTCACCTCTTGGCAAACCAATCAACTGCAACTGGTAAGTCATTTTACTAATGTCAGACAGAGTAATCACAGAACAAGTTGGCAATTTTTTTTTTTTTTTTTAAAGTTAGAGGATTGACATTAGTAAACGTCTACTAGTGTGATGTTGCTCATGATTAGGCAGAACATGTTCGCTTTTTTTTTTTTTTTTTTTAAAGTTAGAGGATTGACATTAGTAAACTAGTCTACTAGTGATGTTGCTCATGATTGCTGTCATCAGTTGTGCTGCTGCTCTCCCCTTGAGGCTTGGTTCACGCACGTTGCCTTCACAGGAGGCCTGGACTCCACCAGCCTCATCCAACTACAACAGCACAGGTCTCTTCTTACAACCAGGAGGGATACAGTAAACCAACTGTAATTGGTAATTCCAACATCACTTTGGAATGCTAGTTTACAGTATTTCCCTCTGTCCTGAATTAGAATAAGTTAACACTGAAAACAAGCACGTATCAAACAGATGGATTAATCAAGGTTAATCAAGTTAAATATGGCTAGAAGGCACACCAAGTGAAATGATGACAGCAATCAACCAGGTTATGTCATCCTAGCTGTTTCTAATAATGTAATTATGGAGGGAAACAAATTCTAAACAAGGAAATCAGCTACAGGGCCTCCATCATCATCATGGACTCACATTTCAGCTCCATGGGCTCTCAGGCAGAAGCATACATGTCTTACACCGTAAGTTTCCTGCTAACAGACAGCACTATCATCCGTACCATCAGCAAGCTGAAACTGCGGATTTTAGGTGCACAAATTATTCTGCTTTGCGACAGATAAACAAAAGAAACATTTGTCTCCTGCTTACCCTGATGGCCTCAGTTAAAATAGCATCCATTTTGGGACGTGAGGTGGCAGCCATCTGAGTTTGCTTCTGTGCTCTAGCTAGCTGGCTAGCAGAAAGAGTAGCCCATGCAGGAATGGTCTTTTTCACCTTCTTCTCCTTTTCCTTAGACTGATCCTTCTCGCTTAGGAAAAATACAAAGCAATAGTAAGACAAAAGACACTGTAAAACAAGCCAACAAGCAGAACAACAACAAAGCCCAGAACATCTGACATTGAAAATAATTTAAAGACCATTTTGGTGTTTCGATTAGAAAACCTGACTTTCTTCAGAATCCTACCCAAACCCCTGAATTCAGCACTAAGCAAGCCTTACTCCTTTTTGGTTTCTTCTGAGGACTTTGCTTCCCCCTTCCCTTCATTCTCAGGTTCCTTTGGCTGTTCTGCTTCACTGGATGCAGCAGGCAGGGTTTCATTCTCTTGTTCTTCTCCAACAGAGGCAGATTCCTCAGAGGTGACTTCTGCATCTAACATGTGAAAACGCATCAAGTTACTGCCTGAAACTAGCCTCTATTCTTCAGGAAGGCAGAGGAAAAAAAAAAGCTTAAGAACACACCCCCAAAAATTATTTCCCACCAGACAATTTCTTTTCTCTAATTTAAACAGATGATTTGAATGTAACTTAAGAAGTGAACAGAACTACTGAAAAGAGCTTCAGTAAGGTGCAATCAGCCATCAAATGCCAGAATAACTTCAAACATCATCATGTAGCATTTTCACAATGAACTAATTCCCCCAGTCTTCTCTTAACTCCAGAAGTTACTGTTGCAATCAACCCTCATCAGAGAGGCCTGGGTGGGGAAGGGAGGAGGAAATCAGTACCATGAAACACTAAGATTTTCCCCTAGGTTGAGGTTTGTGTGTTTTTAACTCAGAAAGGTGCAAAAACATGCACCTCTACAAGAAATTTGGATAGATACATACAAGCAGCTTTGTTTACGACCAACTTGTCTTCAAACACCGCTGTTTCCGCACGCTGTGGCACCTGAAGGATTTTAACCATTCAATCACATTTTTCCAGGCTTGGCAAAGCTTTAGACTGCACATGCATTTGCAGAAGCACTTGTCTATCAGTAGGATTAAATCTAGTCAGAAATGAACTTACCAAGCAAATTAACTCCAGCATATTTAGCTGAGAATAGCTTAGAGACCGGGCTGCCTGCTAGGTAAGATGCATATAAACTGCCATTACCCACTTTTTGGATAAAGAGCTGTCTACCGCGACTGCTCTAGAACATGTAGACATGTTCTCTGTCTCTGAGAAGGAGCTTAAGCACTCCTGCTACGTTCCTGTGCATAGTTTTCCCATGGAGGCATCATGCATTTAAAATATGCAGTGTATTAATAGTTAGTTTCGTATGTAATTTATTTATTTGTGACACCAAAGAGGACAAAGTCAGTGAAACTAACTGAATACGATACTGAAATGACACATTCTGAGAAACTGAGGGGAAGCTGCTAAGACCAGACACATTAATATTGGACTAGATTTTATGACACATTGTGGTAAAATCCTTTTGTTCAGGAAAAGAAAGAAAGAAAAAAAATTAAATACTTTGTTTTTCCACTCATTAACTCCACCTTTCGATCTCAAGCCATCTTCTGACACTACTGAAACTTCACAATTTCTACCTTTATTCTAAAGAATGTGCAAGCTTAAAAGGGACTATATTTAGTTATATTTTCCTGTCTGGAGCATCAGGGCTTTGCCACGGGGTATGAAGGACAAAACAAATGGGTTCAGACTGAAAAGAGTAGCTGCAAAATACAACTTCCCAATAATCCAGGAAAAGCCTGTGAAAAGAAGCTAAGCATTAGTAGTATTTTAATCACGGCAGTAAGGTTTTTCCAGGAGTTTCAGAACACAAGCTTATGTTTGGATATACATTAACAATCCACTATAGAACTATTACCGTACCTGCTTTGACCTCTTCACCATCAGCAGATTTGCTTTTGGGAGGAGTTTCCCGGGAAGAAGAATTCACCGAGCGACGGATCGGCATCGTGTCGTCTTCAACTTTCTATAAAAAGTATACAAAAATCAGTACAGATACTGGAAAGAACCAGAAAGTTTTTGAAATGGGATTAAAGTAAATCAAAAAGCAGCATATGTAGAAATGTTCTAGTTACATTTGGATTTTTCAGAATTTTAAAAGATAGTAACTCTCAAACCAGCTTCTTTGAAGCATACTAGGAGAGGATAGTTTCACATTTTACAGTTATAAAAGAAATAATTTCTTTTCAATTCCAAATTAAATGAGATGAGCATTCAAGGATTTTGACAAATACAACATCTCAGAGAAAGCAGAGAAGGGGAAGGAAAGTGCCTACAGGGTTTATTAGACTCCCAATCGAGTTTCCTACAAGCAGGGGAGAAAGAGTACCGAGTAACCTTCAGCAGGACTGGAAGTCAAGGACTGATCCAAGGGCAAGCTTGGAGAGTGGGCCAGCCCCTACCTCACTTAACTTGTCCGTGTGGATCAGCTGAGCTCCCGTTAAGAGTGGAAGCGCCTTATGATGCACGGGTTCAGCTTCAGACAGATCAGTCGCCATTTAAATTAATTTCTAGCCCCAAGTGCAGGTAACACTGTGGAGCCCCAGGTTTTAACCCCAAGGACTTTTTCCTAATGGTTTTCACAGTGCAGTGAGGAGTCAACCTAAAGTACAGAAAAGATGTGGTGTGAAAATTAACAAAACAAAAACATCTACGTCCATGTATCTAACAAACTAAAGATTAAAAAGAAAAGAAGAATAAATGACTTACAGCTTATGACTAACATAACTGACAATCAACACTTGCATTCAACAAAGATGCTAAAACACGTATGCAAACTTGAGTGCTATGGATGTAGCACAAATGGTAAAGGTATAAGCCAGCCCTGCAGCCTGCTCCATTAAAACATATCTGAAAGAATAAAGAGGCTCTTTAACAGAAAGCGTTAATGAAAAGCAGACATTGCACTGTGCCTAACGTAAGGCGTTGAGGTAACCAGTAAGTCATTCACTTTGGGTAAAAGCAGGAGCTGACGCATTGATCCAGCTTCTCTCAGCCTAAGGCATTAAACCATTGAATCTCTTAGAAAATACATACGCTGGGGACCCAAACTATGCCCCTCCCAAAATAAACCCCATGCAATTTATAGAAATGAATGAGTCCTTGAACAAGAAAATAAACATCAAAACAGCAGTCTCCGTACCTTCTACAAAAAACCTAAAGCTTTAGAAAACTCTCCTCCAAACACATGCACCGTCATGGGTACCGAATGGGTTAAGCTTAGTTTAACCCTCATCAAGTCTCACCCCTCGCTACCATTACACTTCTACAGCCTTTCTTACCTGTTGCCCATCCGCCTGCATCAGCCTCTCCTAAGGGGAGGTGCTCCACTATTTCCATCGCAAAACAGAGGGTTTACTTGCTCATTCACCTCCTCTTCTCAGCACCCCCTTTAAAAACCTCAAAAGCAAAGCCTCACCTCTAGCAAACCAAGGCTGGACCCATTCTCCCCCATTCCATCCAAAGGTCAAGCTCCAGACTGCCCTCTTCCCTTCCTTACAGAGAAAGAGACAAATGCTCCCGATTTCTACCTATTCTGGATGTTTTCTTTTGCTCAGATGAGAAGGCAGGCACTTACCATAAATTTTCACTTTTAATAGGTATTTCCCCAGCCTGAGTGTCTTCCTCTTGAACGGAGACCTAACATCACTCCTGGCACTGTTTTCAAGATGACTTTCACCACAGTTTCAGCACTTTGCACTGCATTCTCCATTGCAGGGGTGGATGCTCCGTACCACATCAATACCACCTCAATTACTCCGCATTCTTGCCCAAAAATACAGTCCTCTTATTACTCGGCAGTGGGGACTCCTAACCGATCAGAGGGATTTTCTCTACCTCAGTTATTTTCCCAGGCAAACCAAACCCAGCTCATCTGCACGGAGCACTTTTGTTAAACCTCCAAGCTGTGTAAGTAGTTTCCATTCAGAAACCAGCGGCAGTGAAAGAAGAGCTGAGGGGAATGTACGTTAAGATACGACGGTTCACAAGGCTGGTGCTGCAAGAGGCTACATCATCATACCTACAAGATCTCCTCCCCAAATAATAAACCGGTAAATTAATAAACTAATTCCACTGCTGCTGCAGGTGGGTGCAGTGTCACGTCAGGTGCACACACCTACGGCACAACCGACAGAGAGACTTTCATTTCAGGAGAACTAGACACATCACTTGGCAGCACTTCCACAGGAGGTGCTCTAAAAGACATTCATCTAGCTGGCCATCTTCAAAACGCAGCGCTTCTAACAGCTAAAGGCAGTCTATCCACTTCTGCAACATCTACGACTTCTCCTTTGACACCGAACAGTCATTCTGAAAAATGACAGTGAAATAGTCCTGTCTCAGTACCAGTAAAAACAAATGAGTGTAACAGCGCCAGATGTTTTCTTCTGAGACAAAACAGAAAAATCAAAACACACTACATGCCAAAAACAAAATAAATGAGATGAACGAAGCTTTCTTACGAAATTTCAGGATGGGAAAAAAAGTACTAACAGCCAACTAGAACATACGAACTATAGCCCAGCACATTTTTTTTTTTTTGGCCTATTTTAAGGGACCTTCCTCCCTGAAGTGCGGAAAGTGAGAGGATAAATGAAAATTTTCACCAGGCTTCAGCTCAGTATCAAATGTTTTTTCTAGCAAGCATAGCCTGAAGCCCTTTAAGAAAATGCCAGCATTTCATAGAATCATAGAATCATTGAGGTTGGAAAAGACCTCTAAGATCATCAAGTCCAACCATCGACCCAACACCACCACGCCCACTAAACCATGTCCCTAAGTGCCTCATCTACTCGTCTTTTAAATACCTCCAGGGGTATTTTGAAGTGAGTCCTAAAATAACCAATTACAGATCCATCCTCAGGGAAATTGGTTGGGGGCTACAAAAGACGCTTTCCCTGGGATTACTAACACACACATACAAGCATGCACTGTGGCTGCCCTGGTCCTGGGTTTTATTTTTTTTCAAACTGTGTGACCTGCACGTCACACGCATGAAAACATAGTACTCCCAATTTTGACTTAAAATTCCCCAAGTTCTGAAAAAAACCTTTTGTTTAGATCACATTATAAACTACTCGAGTCTTTTTGCTCTCAAGAGTGAAACTCAACACAGCGCAATTCATAACTTCAGTGCCTGCAATACATGCAAATAATGTCATCCAGCCGAAATTCAGAGTGACCCAAACAGGAGCTTGTTGATTCCCTCTGCATTTCCATGTGTGGATCATCTTCTGCTCAAAAGGCCAAGGGAATCAAAGGGGCAGGAGGATAATCTCCTATTGACTTCAAAGCACCGATATTCTCAAGGGGCAAAGTCACAAGCACCACCATGTGAAAGCATCACAGCTCAAGGACTGCTCTTGCTTAGCGCCTATTTCTTTGCACAGAGGGATCAAAAGCAGTTTTCGGGACTGGGTGTGAAATGTCAACTACAAACAGGCCTGAATTTACTTTCTCAAAAAGATAAAGCAAAAGACTAGAAGGTTTTGCAACAGCAATGCAGGAAAACTCTCATTCCCCCCTCCAAATAAAACGGTAGATTTATCTAATGGAAAAATCAAGTCACCCAAACCAACTGTTACCTGGACACCCTATTTCATGTATGGGAAACTAAGACATCTTTAAACGTGTACCACAGCTACTATTACAAGCATCACTCTTAATAAAAAACAATTGGAAAATAATAACTGTATTTTGCATTTACACAAATGTCAAAGAAACAAACACTGTGATTAGAAAGTGGGAAAAGGCCATCAATTGAGGATGCAGGTTTTCAAGGTGGTTGTTGGTAACTCTCATGTACGCTTAAATCTGATCAACTGTCAGAAAAAAAATAATCACATCAGCAATGAAACAAACATCAGGATACCAATCTTTTCAAAAAGTTGCTTGAAAGTACAGATAACAACTCCTCACATAGCTACTCACACTCATTTTCCCATGGGTCATTTGAACTGCAGGTTCACAGGTTCCCCAGCTATCATGAACTAGTCATTTCAAAGCTGGTAATCCAGCAAGGAGCTGGTAAGTGACAAAAGCCCCCAACTTTCTGGATTTCTAGATGAGCAGGAATGGTCGATAGTGTCCAGTCTCCCAGCTCAGGGAGTGGCCACTAATGGAAGATCCAGTCAAAGGTACAGGTGGCTTTCCATGAACTATTATGAAAAACTGTAGCAATTTCCTCCTGAGCTATCAGCACATCGTTAGGGAAAAAAAAAAGGGGGGGAGGCTTCAGGTGAGACAAACACATTTTGGATAATATTTCAGAAGAGTGGAGTCCCCCCACCAATGTAACAGACAAAAGAACGTTAAAAAAAAAAGTTAATTTGAGACGTAGTTTGGCTGACTCCTTGAATTTCTGCTGGCCATAAGATTTTCCAGCTTATCTCAGACTTCAATCTCATTCGAGGGAAAATATTTCAGGATAAAAATCAGGTCTCGAATGTGGCAAGCCAACTGTCAGGCTGGTGGAAATACCAAGTCACAAGGACTCGGGGTTGGGTGCACAGGCTGAGCGGACTGAAAACAAATATGCAATGGAAAACTGAGAAAGCATATCCAATCCTGTGCCGTTAAGGGTGTCCACTTACTGTTACACGACACGTATACCGGTGATTGATGTGCTCTTAGACATGACTTGGTATATGGCACGCTACGCGGGTCCAGAAATCAGGTCAAAAAGGGCTAGAAAAAAGTTATGTTCTTCCAGATTTGAAGCCAGGGTGTCAAGGGATACAAACCCGCCAACCTTACAAGCGACACAAGCAAGAATGACTGACTATTATCAGAAAGGCTCAAAAAGCAAAGTAACTGGATTTCAAGAACAGGCTATTGATTATCATGGAATTATCTACTAGTTTCTAAAGCTAAATTGAGCAGAAGAGCATTTAAACATCTCAGAAGCTGCAGAAAAAAGCACAGGAAACGTTAATATTTTCACAAAGCAAAAATAGAAATCCAAACCAAACATGCCAAAATATTACCTTCTAAATCGCAAGTTGGCCAACTTTTTAAAGACTTCTGGCCCTCTGAAATCCTCAAAGCTCTTCCCTAAAAATCCAGTTCAGGTAGAATATACCTTATCGAAACCCCCAATATCTATAACGTCACAGAATATATCATCCAGCAACATCTTTGATACAAATTTGTTTTACAAAATGTATCTGTTAAAAGTTCTCAGCTGACTGCCTGCCACAGCCTGCTTCACAAAGATGTTCTAGCATTTACTGATCTCCCTTTTGTTTTTGCAGTTCACCGAGCTGCCTGTTGTCTTGATTAAGTCAGACCAGTAGTATTTAGTCATTTAAAACAGCCTAAAAACATGCAGAGGAGTAAAATACCTTACTGAATACACAATACGAGTTAGTCCCCGCTTCTAATCCTTATTTGGCAACCTGCTCGGAAATTCACTCCCGTTTCACATCTGGCTGAGCATTACTTCACAACTGGCATTCCCATCACTTCTGTTGCCATTCAACAAGTTTTGTGCTAACTTCGTCCCGATCCTTACGGACACCACGCTGCATCGATTTCCTGGGAGGTGTCCTAGTTAAGCGGACTTTTCAATCGCGTGCCTCCTCCTGATCAAGCTACAAGGGCTGCATTTGCAACTCTCTTGCGGTTGAGTCTCCGAGAGATCTGTTACAGGCTATCTGAGCCCCAAGCTGCTACAAGCATTATAAACCATCTTGTTTCAATTAAAGAAGAATAGTAAAGATCCAATAGCTCACCACTTGCCAGGCAAGAAATTCTTTGGCTTGACTAGTGTTACAGTTTCTATTTCCATCCACTCCTTCCCTATACAGTGTTAAGGAGGGAACAACAAATCCCAAGTACGTTAGGGTTCAGGGAAGCACAGTGATAATCTTTCATGTTTCTAGTATCTAAACACACGCATTCCTACACACGGAGACCCAAAGGAGAGTTTCTCTAAGTCTAAAGATACATTTTCATTTCAGGGTAGCATTGAATTTGGACCCGTGACTCTAAAAGCCACGAATGCAACCTGACCTACACCTTGCCTATCCTGTTGACTTTTACAGAGCAAAGCAAAGATTAAATACTGCCCTTCTGCACACGCGGATGCTGCTTTCACCGCAAAAAAAAAAAAAAAGGCACATTACTACAGTGAGATTGATGCTCTGCCTCCCCACCTGGGACTCAGCTCAGCACCTTGTCTCCCCTAGGATATAATACCGGAATTCAAAGTCAGCTCAATCTCAACAGATGTTTATTAAAATACCAAGTAACAACACAGGCCTCACCTCCGCTATTCTTAACCACCAAGAATGCCAGCTCAATATAAAAACCACTATAGGTTTCAGATTATTTCTCAATCAGTCTTTGACCTATGCAGAAGACAGTAACAGCAGATCATTTCCGTGGCTTGGATTATCTTCTTTTCCTATACCCAGGAGTTCTTCTTCACATCCCCAAACACACAGCCAAAGCCAGGTAGCGTGCAACTTAAATTATGCCACCATCATACCTAGAAACTCGCAAAAACTTCAGCTAATGGACTAATATGAAGCAGAATTTCTGCTTGCATAGCTGTCTAAAAATAATCCCTCTCCGCGCTGATGCTCAGGATTGTGACAGTGACAATCTCTGTGGGACAACAGTTTTTGAATAATTTTTGGCTAGCATGGTCCTTGATCCAGATTCTCCATGTGCTGCCACTGACACAAGCAGCTAAGGAATGAAATTGCCTGTATTAGAGCACACAGGGTTCAGCTTTAAGTTTAGAACAGGTTTAGGTCACAAACTTAAAACTACTCCAACATGAAAATCCACTGCTGAAAGTTTCATAGCCTTGGATGAAATATCTTAATTCCAGTATCCAACATTATGAATTTTGACAAGCCACTGACACTTGAATGAAAATTTAGGCCGGTAACACTACATACCAGGGTAAGAACCTTTTATAGGCAACATCCTTCTTGCTTAGATGGATTAAATTTAAAACCACTATGCAAACCCTCCTCCCGAACTATTACTTATTCAGCCATCACTTACTATTATTATGTATAGTTTTGTACTCTAGAAAAGCTATGATTTCCTTGCAGTCTATATAAAATCTACTCACGCCTCATATTAGAGTCCATCAATGTAAAACTTCTTTTATTCTCTCTCATGGAAGTTAAAATCCTCAGAGCACCCTGGGTCACTTGTAACAAAACTCTGACAAAAGATTCACACATCAGTTTCTATTGAAAGGGAAAACACAAAAGAAAAAGATATTCTGAAAACAAAAATAATTCAAGCAACTACTACCTGAGGAAAGTGCACAATGCATTGAAGAGCTAATTAATTAGTAGGCACATGCAG